GGGAAAGAGGAAATATTTGGGGGGAGGTGAATGCAGTTCTCCCGCTTGTTAATTCTGATTTCCAGTTTGGTACTCAATTTTCTTGCTTGCATGCAGCCACAGTGAGACGTCCAGTTTAAACCCTTGTAAGGAACTTGATAATTTAGGCTTCAGGCTCTCCTAAGGTGACTGGACCTTCTTTCAGAACTCTTAAGTATTGTTGGGATTCTGGCCTATTTAGAAGTGCTCCCTCTGACCATTAGCAACACCTGCGAGCAGTTTCTGTTCCTTAAAGATTCGACAGGGTCTCCTCCCTAGTTTTCCTGTCACTGTAGACGCTAATTAACTGGTCAGCCCTGATTGGCTGTTGAGTTGCTGGGCAATACATTGCTAGAAAAGATTGTTTCTTAATATACCCAGGACGGCTACTCTTACCCTTTCTCCACCTTGGCATAACACCACGCTATACCAGCCTGGCATGAAGAGGGCCTGTGTCCTATCAGATGGGTAAGACAGATGAATAATGCCATGCAGAGATGCTTGAAGGGTAGTAAGGTCTAAAGTTTTCAGATGGGCAGATTTTATGTAGCAGTAGTGAGGTTTATTTGTTTTCTGTTAATTTGCCTGTGACCAAGTGATTTATGCTCTGCAACACTCCTTATTGTATTTCAAGCCAAACGTAGGTGCTCCCCGGAACAAGCCCTGAGGTGGAAAGCTGAGCCCTTTCACTCTCACAGAATAAAAAGGGGGGAGTGCGTCCTGCCTGCCTGACTCCTGGGGTGGCTGTTTTCAGTGCCCAGAGAAGGAGCCTTGGGACCTCTCTGATCCTTATAACCCTTAATCAGGATTTAGAGCACTTTGGGAATGTGGGCAGGATGCAAAGCGTATGACGAATTGTGGATGTTTTCAAAGAGGAATTTCATGATAGCAGAGGGGCAGACTGCCTGTGTGGGGGTTTGCCGTGGCATCTCTGTGTGAATTTGTACAACTGAGATGCATGTGTATATAGATAAAACAGCTCCTTTTACTTTTCATTCAGGAAGACCATTTTTGTCCCTTTTGTTTCTCTTTAGCAACTTTTCTGTTTTCTTATAACACCTACTGTAGCCCATTTGTGCAAAAACGGGCAACAGTTTAATGGTAATATTTCTGTCAGATTTAATTGGTTAAGGGAAGAAAGGTTTCATACCAAGTGTGGTGAAACTAAAACAGAAATAAGAACCTTTGAATCCAATCAGGGTTGTCACACAATGTCGTAATAGAGTATGTAGTCCATACATTTCATAAAAGGGTTCGATGAAATCCAGATTAAGAATTTATATCGGGCATTAATAGTTTGAAGGGCACAGAGTAGAAAAAGATGAGCTGAAGAGGTTAAAAATTAGATATTGGGGAAGAAGAATTGGTTTTATACCCCACTTTTCTCTACCCTAAGAAGTCTCAGAGAGGTTTACAATTGCCTTTCCCTCCCTCTCTTCACAGCAGGTACCTTGTGAGGTAGGTGGGGCTGAGAGAGTTCTGAGAGAACTGTGACTGGCCCAAGGTCACCCAGCAGGCTTCCTGTGGAGGAGGGGAGAATCAAACCTGGTTCTCCAGATTACAATCTGCTGCTCTTAACAACTGTGCCACACTAGCTCTCACGCTGGTAAAGAATGGATAAAACAGCTGAAGAAGGGGAAGAAGCTGATGAGGAGAAGTAGTGTGGTATACCAGGCAGAGAGTTGAAAACTTGCCTGAACCTGAAACTGAAAATCTCAGGTTCAGATCCTTGCTGTGCCATAAAATTCACTAGGTAATTTTGGGTTCATCATAACCTCTTAACCTAACCTGACTGGAAAGGTTGTTGTACAGGGAGGTCAGCATTGCCATACATGCCAGGTTCTAGTGTGATGACTCATACAGTGTGGTGGGCTCACTTAACCTCCAGTTATGGATTCCACCATTTTCTCATATATTTTTATTAACGCATTAAATTTAAACACTTGTATATATGTGAGCAGTTCAGAAGAGGGTTTCCAAGTTTTGAATCTCTATAATATCCCTCCCTCTCAGGCATTCCTCTGACAAAGTCGCCAAGTTGGAAAGCCAGGTGGAATCCTATAAAAAGAAGCTGGAAGATCTTGGGGATCTACGGCGACAGGTGAAACTCTTGGAGGAGAAGAACACAATGTACATGCAAAACACTGTAAGCTTGGAAGAAGAACTGAGGAAAGCCAACGCAGCCCGGAGCCAACTGGAAACGTATAAGAGACAGGTGAGAGCAGATGTGTGTAAAATTGCAGCCACTGAAATTTCCTCGCTTGCATGTAGCTAACCAATCTTCATTTCCTTCTATTTCCCAGCCAAACAATGGCCAGAGAATTCTTATTGTAAGAGCAATCTGGTGTAGTTTTTAGAGAGAGGCACACATGTTAGCTGAGATGACCCGATTCACCCCCAGAACTATGAAACTTGTTTGGTGGCCCTGTGGGCCTCAGTTCCCCAGACCCAACATACCACAGACGGTTGGTGGGTATGTTGCTGGGAAGAATGGCAGGATTAAACTAGTTCTAGTTTCTCCCACATCCTTTGAATTCTTGTGTGGTTTGAAAGTTTGTTAACAGTTGGTCCCCTTAAGAGTCTGAACAGACATTTTACTACATAAGAGGTATGTGTCTATCAGGCCCTCTGTAACAGAGGAGATCTGAAGGCATTTTTCCCCTTCAAGGTTTTAAATTGTTTTTCTATATTTTAATAGTTATGGATTTAATTGGAAGCTGCAATATGTAAATGAAATATATGATTTTGCATTTCTCTATTAAACAGGCAGTTCTTATTAATATTTATCTATACCTTTTAATAATCAATTTCTCTCCATGTACCCAATCCTCACTATTCCAGCAAAGCAGCTGTTAAGAACATAAGAACATAAGAGATGCCAATGTTGGATCAGGCCAAAGGCCCATCCAGTCCAACACTCTGTATCACACAGTGGCCAGAAATACCAGTGCCATCAGGAGGTTCACCAATGGGGCCAGGACATTAGAAGCCCTCCCAATGTAGACCCCCCCCCCAAGCACCAAGATGACAGAGCATCACTTGCCCCAGAGTCCCTATCTATACTTTGTGGCTAATAGCCACTGATGGACCTCTGCTCCATATGCTTATCTAATTCCCTTTTGAAGGGAATAACAGAATAACTGGACAGAGTTTGTTGTTTTTGGACAAATGTATTTTTATAAACCTAATATTGAAACAGGGAGGTCAAAAAGGGAAGTTACAAGGTACGGATAAGCCTGTCTCCAAAACAAGACCGAAATGGGGACCATGTTCCAAAAACTTTCCTATTTACAATTTTTATATTTTTCTTCCATTGGCAGTCATCTGACTTCCCTCACATGTTTGAGGAAACAGCATTCCCCCCCCTTTTTTTTTTGCTTGTCTAATAGGGCTGTGAACAATCTTTACCATTTTGTAAAAAGTGATTATGTCAGAAAAGGAAAGGACATTTTAATAACAACAGTTGAGAACTCTTAACTTCGATGTGCATGTACATGGAAGCTGCCTTATACTGAATTAGACCATCGGTCCATCAAAGTCAGTATTATCTGCTCAAACTGGAAGTGGCTCTCTAGATTCTCAGGCAGAGGTCTTTCACATTCCAGTGTTCCCTCTAAGCTGAGTTAGTGTGAGCAAGCTCACGGTTGTTTAGCTTCCGGCTCACACATTTTTGTCTTAGCTCAGGAAGAATGGCTCCAGAGCAAACTAATTTATGCAGTAGCCAAATTACTCACTCACAACATTAATGCCAGTAGCTCACAAGGTAGAATTTTTGCTCACAAGACTCCACAGCTTAGAGGGAGCTCTAAGCTCCCTTTTTAACTTGAGATGGCAGGGATTGGACCTGGAACCTTGTACATGCAAAGGCTCTTCCAGTAAACCACACAGCCCCTACATACATACTACATGTATGTAGCTGTGCTGGGGAATAAGTGCCTTGCATCTGAACCGTGATGTTACACATTGCCATCTTAGGATAACTGTAGGACGACAGATTTCACTTCCTATTAACAAACTGACTGTGAAGAACGAACACTAAATCTAATCCTTTGGTATTATTGCCAGTGAATCAGCAGGCTGAGTGCTATTTAATTGCATTTATCTCGGCTTAGTTATTTCATCCATTGAAAATGGAAGGGTAATATATTGAGTGTTTATGACCACCAGTGTTCCCTCTAAGCTGAGTTAGTGTGAGCTAGCTCACAGTTTTTTAGCCTCCAGCTCGCACATTTTTGTCTTAGCTCGGGAAGGATGGCTCCAGAGCAAACTAATTTATGCAGTAGCCAAATCGCTTGCTCACAACTTTAATGCCAGTAGGTCACAAAGTAGAATTTTTACTCACAAGATTCCACAGCTTAGAGGGAGCATTGGCCACTGAGTGAAAATAGACTGTTTATTTAAAGCAGGGGTGTCAAACATGTGGCCCGGGGGCCAGATCAGGCCCCTGGAGGGTTTCTATCAGGCCCTCAGTGGAACTGGCTGTCTTCTGCTTCTTCTTCCAGTTCTGCTGCTGCTGCATCATCATAGGTTTGCACCTTACAGATACACACCTGAACAGCATACTCAAGATTGCAACAGCACAGACATTTTGATGCAGTAATTCAGAGCAAGAGGTGTCAGTTATCAGACACTGTTAAATAAGCAAAATATTGCAAGAGTGCTAATGTTTTAAGCATGTCTTTATTTTAAGTTAAAAAAAAACCTTTTGTGTTTGTGTCCTTTATAAAGTTTATATCTCTGCTACCTGGCGTTACATTTTATGACACACATGGCCCGGCCCAACAAGGTCTCATTTATGTCAGATCCGGCCCCCATAACAAATGAGTTCGACACCCCTGATTTAAAGTATTTGTTTTTGTTAGCTGCCTTTCTTCCTTATGGAGCTCAAGGCAGCTTACAAGTGGAAGAGCCACTTAAACTGGAAGAAGGTTCCTCGGCCTTCAGGTCGGATCCAGGCTTTGCTGAGCAGAGTGGTAGGACACCCTCCAATAGCTCTTATGATGCTTCGTGCTTTTCCATTCTAATATTGGTGACCAGTGATTCCCCTTCTTGCTCTTACAGGTAGTTGAACTCCAGAATAGATTGTCTGAAGAATCCAAGAAGGCAGACAAATTAGAGTTTGAGTTCAAGATGCTGAAAGAGAAAGTAGACAGTCTACAAAAAGAAAAAGATGTATGTATCGTAAATTTGTGAATGCAGCCTTTTCATCTCTCGTAGAAGCAACCTTCTGTCTTAAGGCACTTGTTACCAGGTCTTCTTTATGAACACCTATCCCATTATTCATACCAAAAGATGTCTGTGAAATGCAAAGGTGTCTGTGAGTGAATCTAAGCACCGTTCTTTGCCTCTGCCGTATTTGCCATTCATTCATGTTGTTTCCTCTGACACTTGCTCTGCTTCCCTCTTGGGCTTCCATTGACACAGTCTCTTTCCCAGTTGTTTTTAAATGGTCCAAGTCTGCTTTTCCTGGTCCTCCTTGTCTTCTCTGTGTTTCCTTATGCTTGATAATTTCCATATTTGGCTGTTTACCTCTGCCTCTTTGGCTTCCCTTTTACTAGCTGTTTGTTTGAGAGCCTCTTCTGGCTGTCTTCTCAGTTCCAGGCGTCACAAGGTGAAGACAGAGATCTTCATTTATTCACTTTTGCTCTTACCCTCTTCCATCTCTGTCTGTGATGCTTTTGTCTTGTTTGCCAGCCCTTTCATATCTAGACTACTATCGTCGTCTCCATCCTCTCGCTCTCTCTCTCTCCCTCCCCACCCCCGTTCCAAATTCTTCTCGTGAAATCACTACTGCTGTATAGCTAGTCGTGTGCTCTGTCACTATAGTTCTTTGCCCAGAGTGTATAGAAAAAGATTCCTGCATAAAGGCACTGGAATTGGGTCCAGCTACAGCCGAATGTCAGTACAGCCAAAAGCACTGTTTTTCCTTTGCTCCAAGCGAAGTAAATAAGTGGAGGAACAAGAGCAGCAAACCTCCATGCGTGGCCTTAGATTGCATTAGTGAGAGCAGATTTTGTAAGATAATGCAATTTGTTCTCTGCACTGGGTCACTTTCTTGTTCCTAATCCATATTCTTCACAAGTTCTAGCTTTCACTCTACTCCTGTCTATTTCTTCCCCCTGTTTTGGCAAAAGCTTTTCTACTTCAGCCAGCCCTCTTTGTTCCCGCTTCTGTCTTTTGTGACTTTTTCTCACTGTGCTCTTGATATCCAGTTCTCACTTTCCTTGTCCCGGAAAGGCATCTCTCTCCCCAGCAAAGTCTTTCTGTCACCATTCCCGTGTTTTCTTCTGTCCTGTTCTGGTCATCCCCTAGTTGCTTACTACCTTTTCTTTCTGCTTTCTCCTTTTGTCTGTTGCTTGGATTGCAAATAAATGGTCTTCGAACTTACTTCCTTGTATTTTAAGTTTTCATTGATTTCACGTTGGCGCCCTTTCTTCCAGCCTATGTGCTTGGGTGAGCCTCATGTTGTTCACATATTCGATATTTTGTATGGGCTTATAGAACGGAAAATGTTATAAGTCAGTGTGGAAAATAAACTCGTTTCAGGTATCTTACATTTATGTGTTCTTGGGGCAGAACTAAGTGTTTAAAGACTGAGCTTCTGCTGAAAATGGCAGCCCCGTGTCTAATTCCACTCCCCGATAGGCACCAGCGGGAGATGGGGGGTGGGGTGGGGTTGCCATATCCAAGCTGGGAAACCGCTGGAGATTTGGGGGTGGATTCTGGGGAGGACAGAGACTTCAGTGGGGTACAGTGCCACAGAGTCCATCCTCCAAAGTATCCATTTTCTCCATGGGAACTGATCCTTGTAGTCTGGAGATGAGCTGTAATTCTGGGGGATCCCCAGGGCCCAAGTGGAGGCTGGCATCCTTACGCCCTGCCCCCAGAAATGTCTAATTGATCTTGCCCCATGTCCTGATATTATTCTGATGTGTTTCACTGCCCTGTTCTATATTGTTGGCTGGCAGGGGCAGAGAGATACACACCATCGTGATATCGGGTGGCCTGAGCTTACGGAAGGCAAGGATAGAAATGTTTTTTAAATAACATAAATGCCAGGGTATGAGGTAAATGGAACTGGCTGTTTTTGGGGACAGGGAAGATTATTCACCTGCTGTTTTGGGTTGAAGCTTTGCCATGGTGTTCATACATGCAGTTCCTCAGAGTACAATCCACCTGGTAGAGCATTAGGCTCAAACTCGAGCAGTGTCTTCCTATGTACCTATGGCCTGGACACATATGCATAAGCCTTTGGCAGGCATCACTTAAGATAAGTTATGCCCCCTTGAGGGGGGAAGGTTGTTTTGAAATCCCTTGTATGAAGGACCGTTTTAGATACATACGGGATTGAAATGCCATGAAGAGAGAGCAGTGTAGCAATACTTCATGAACCGATTTGCAAAATTAAATCTAATGCTTTTGTGCTTTTCTACTTCTGTAGCGGCTAAGGACAGAGAGAGACTCCCTAAAAGAAACGATTGAAGAGATTCGATGTGTACAAGCGCAAGAGGGACAGCTTACCACTTCAGGTAACCGAAAAGGGGGGGGGGAGCACCAGATCTCTTTCCTTCTTAAATGTGAGAGATTCTGAAATATGGTGTGTAAAATTACAGGCCCGTTCTTCTGTTTTAAGCAGTGGGCTGGTGCAGCTGCCCAGAAGAGGATTTAATGCAGCATGACTTATATGACTGTTAGTACAAGCGGGTCCCTTGGCCTCACAGCATCTTCTCCACCCTCCCCTCCTCCCACGAGCCATTTCCCATCCTGAGGTTGTTTTATATCTCTCCTGCTCCAATCAGGAGACTTAAAAGTGCCTTAGCTTGGCTTCAGCAATAAGTCACCACTGCATACATTCCAGTTTTTTCTGTGGGAGCCAGCGTGGTGTGGTGGTTAAAAGTGGCGGACTGTAATCAGGAGAACCAGGTTTGACCCGCCCCCCCCACTCCTCCACGTGAAGCCTGCTGGGTGACCTTGGGCCAGTCACAGTTCTCAGAACTCTTTGAGTCCCACCTACCTCACAAGGTGCCTGTTGTGGGGAGAGGAAGGGAAGGAGATTGTAAGCTGCTTTGAGACTCCTTGAGGTAGAGAAAAGTGGAGGTATAAAAACCAACTCCTCTTCTTCAATGTTTTCTTTTCTTCCTTTCTTCTCTTTCCTCTCTACCTACCCTAGGATTACTGCCACTGGAAGGTCAAGGGTCTTCAGATAGTTTAGCAGCGGAAATTGTTACCCCTGAAATCAAGTAAGTCACGTAATCCTCTTTGTCTCAAGTGGGTCTGCCAGATTTCTGAGTGTGCACGGCCCCTCAAGGTTATCTGGAAACTTTAGCTAGTGTAAAATCCTGCCAGTTGGTCTCTCTGTGAGCATTGGATATTGCGAGCTTGTTGCACAAGAACTGAAGAAACAACACTGGTCATCAGCTTGCTTTTGGATTCTGTTCAAGGGGATGATTCTAACCTTTAGAATCCTTCATAGCCTGAGACCACACATTTGAAGGGCCATCTTTCCTGGCATTAGTGTGGGCGTCGGCTTAAATCTTCATGTCAGTCCCTTCTATCTCTTCCTTTAACTAGGATGACAGACACAGCCTCCACAAGAAGTAGAGCACTCTCTGAAGCTGCTCCTCTGGTTTAGAGCAGTTTGTCAGAATATGTGCAGAAAGCGCCTTCTCCGATGGCATTTTAGAAGGGCCCACAGCAGCATTCTGTTCAGAAAGGTCCTCCCTGCATCGTTTATAGTGGGTGTGGGTCCAGTGGTTCATGGTGCTATGGATCGTTGAGTCTTTACAACCTTTGGATGTAATTCCTGTATATATTTTGTTTCTAGCTCTGTGTGTGTGTTTAAAAGATGTTCTCTAGGTATCCTTTTGCAGAAATTGGTAAAATGGGGCATAATTTTAATATAAATGAATTCACTTTTCTCCAATATCAGCCATTGTTTTGATTCTCAGTTTGGTGACTTGGCTTACTTGATCCCCCCCCCCCTTTCTTTGTTTGTTTCTTTAAATTTGAGGAAGCAGTTTGAAAATCCCATTCGTAGTTTAATGGAATTCTTTTTTCATCCTCTTGGAGACCCACGACCTGTACTTTCTAAAGAGCTCCCCTCTTTTTCCAAGGGAAAAACTCATTCGCCTCCAGCATGAAAATAAAGTGCTGAAGCTTAACCAAGAAGGGTCTGACAATGAAAAGATTGCCCTGTTGCAAAGTCTCCTGGATGACGCCAATCTCCGGAAGAACGAACTAGAGACAGAAAACAGGTAGGAAGGAGCCATCTTGCTTCTAAGTGTAGGCCTCTTGGGGATTTTGTTCTTGTTTATATCGATCGGCCTGTCCCAAAGCATGTAGACTTCAGTTTATAAACTGAAACTAACAGCTTTAATCTCTTGACGAATGCTACCGATTTGACATCTTTCGTTGATGGAGCAAGGTTGCTGCGTATACCGTAAGGGGAAAAAGTGTCCACAGCATTTTTTGCAGTGCAGACTGTGTGTGTGGGCGTGAAGGGGTTGCATATAGTATGGTGACCAATGTTCCCTCTAAGCTGTGGAATCTTGTGAGCAAAAATTCTGCTTTGTGAGTTACTGGCTTTAAAGTTGTGAGCCAGCGATTTGGCTACTGCATAAATCAGTTTGCTCTGGAGCCCTCCTTCCTGAGCTAAGACAAAAATCTGTGGGCTGGAGGCTAAAAAATTGTGAGCTAGCTCACACTAACTCAGCTTAGAGGGAACACTGATGGTGACTGCCATTAAACGTCCAGGTGAGATGTGTGTACCAGCAAGGGAAGCTGAAGAAGGCATGCGTGTCAGCACGTTGAGCACGTATTTGCAGAGGAGGCAGTAATCTCTGGCACATGTGTGTGTGGTGCATCGCATAACTTTTTTTTTTGGTTTTGTGTAACATCTATGAAAAATACATTAAAATTTACCCACACTTGAAGAGTAAGTTGAATGCAGGCAGCCCGTTACCCATACTGTTTCCTCTGCTTCCTCAAGTTAGCTCTAAAATCTTGAGACCTGAAGGCCCTCTGGTGTCAGTGTGCCGGAGCTCTAGAGTCTTCCCATTGTAAATTTTTGTCTCAGATAGTTCAAGGGAGTTTTCCTGGAGTGCATACGCTGTAGACTTGAATTCTGTTGCAGTGTAGACCATGCAGAGGGCCAGCTAGGACTCTTTATTCCCCTTACATTCTGGAAGAATGGGAGTTGGACGTTCCTCACGGAGTTTGGGAAATGCGCTACTGTCAGCGAGGAGCTCTTCCACCATCATTTGCTTTGGCAGCGTTTTGCAGATTTTGAGGTTTAGCCGGCAAGTGTTGTGGCCCGCTTAGTTTCCAGGCATTTGTTAAAGTGCGTTGTGTTGAAATGCTTGGAACTGAAATGCTTGGAAAATGATCACAACAGCGTGCTGCTTATACAATTGCCGTTCCATTTTGGTTCGCAGTGAATTATCAGCATTGATCGATTCAGGGCTAAACCAGAGGAGATGCTGGGAGTTCTGTGATCAGAGGTTCCAGTGCTTGGTTTTCTTTCCTTCAGTGAAATTATTTGGCAAATGGGGACATTTTTTAAAAAGTGCTGGGAACTCCAGTCATGGAAACTCCCAGTGTCTTGTCTGGCTGGGCCTTTGAAAAATATATAAGAATAAGCTTTGGGGGAATAAAAAACAAAAGATGAGGTATAGATGTATGTAAGCCTGAATTCAATAAATGAATACATAAATGTATTTTAATAAATATACAGTAATAATCATAACATATAACACTCATGTTGTCAGTTACGAGAGCTGGTGCGGTGTAGTGGTTAGAGTGTCAGACTAGGATCTAGGAGTTCCAGTGGGGTAGCCGTGTTAGTCTGTTACAGCAAAACAAAACAGAAGTCCAGTAACACCTAAAGACTATAACAGCACTTATTCCACTATGAGCTTTCTTCTTCATGAGAGCCATCTTGGTGTAGTGGTTAAGAGTGAGGGACTCTAATCTGGAGAACCAAGTTTGATTCCCCACTCCTCATGAAGCCTGCTGGGTGACCTTGGGTCAGTCACAGTTCTCTCAGAGCTCTCTCAGCCCCACCTACCTCACAGGGTGTCTGTTGTGGAGAGAGGAAGGGAAAGCGATTGTAAGCAACTCCAAGACTCCTTCGGGAAGTGAAGAGCAGGGTATAAAACCAAGTCTTCTTCCACTTCTACTACTATGTACTTCCTCCTCCTCCACTACTACTGCAGTGGATACTAGAGAGATGCAGGGGTCAAGTCACTGCTTTGCATGGAAGCTTGCTGGGTGACCATGGGCCAGTCACTGTCTCGCAACCTAATCTATTTCATAGGGTGAGGATGAAATGGAGGAGTGGAGAATGGTGTAAGTCAGTTTGGGTCCCCATTTTGAAGAAAAGTGGGATATAAATGAAGTAAACTGTAAAAGACCACACACATTTTGACAAATCTGTCTTCATCAGTGGTCAAGTATACAATTTTCCCCCTAAAAGATACAGCTGATTCCTGTGTCAAAAATATATGTAAAACATACAAACACAATATACCTAAAATAAAACATCAATAATATGAACTATGCATATCTTGTTGGACAATGCCCAGTAAGTGTATGCACAGTTCATATTACTGATGTTTTAATTCTGGGTATATTGTACGTTCGGTCTTCTGTGACTGACAACATTAAAGTCTTATATGCTTTCTGTTATACTTACTGTATATTAAAGTAGATTAATTTACTTATTTGAGAATTTATTGGATTTATAATTTAGTGCTTACATAATATATACCTCAACTTCTCTTGTTTTCTGTTTTCTTTGGTGGGGGAGTCGGTTGCAGGTTTTTTCCTCCCCCTTTTTCTGGTGCCTAGTAAAGTGAGAGTAGTCAATCTTTCTGAAAACAAAAAATTTGTTCCTTATTTCCAGGCTTGTAAATCAGAGACTGCTCGAAGTACAGTCTCAGGTTGAAGAACTGCAAAAATCTTTACAGGAGCAAGGTTCAAAAGCTGAAGATGTAAGTGGAAACACACGCTAAACATGGGCCATGCATTTGCAGTGGTGCTACATTTTCCAGTGCCAACTTTTCCAGTCCTTGCTGTACTACATTTTCATGCTAAGCTTCACCGCCTTAAAATTTGAAGGGGAAATGGTGTTGATCCCGCCCCATTTTTAATGCAGCAAATCTCTGGGAAGGGAGGGAGAGTGGCAAGCATTCCCACCACTCTAGGAGCAGCTTGCTGGCAAGTCTGTCCCCCATCCCACCCACCCCGCTATTCAAAAGAATGGTGAGGCAGACACTGTAATGTATGTCAGCCAAAAAGAAGGCGGTGGGCTCGCTGCTGCACTTTGGTCTTTTCTTGTTTTCCATGGCTGGGCAAGAGGGAGGAATAGGGGGGGAGGGGGGGGGGGGGGGAGGGAAGAGACAGGCAAAACAGGGAGATTAATGCTCCCCAGCCTGGATCTCCTTTTCATGTCCAGATTTCTTCTAGGTCAGGCCACTAGGAAGAACAAACTTCCTTTCCTTGGTGCATTCCGTTTTCTCCTCAATCAGACCTGGGTGCCCCAGCCCAGAGGATGCTTTTCTGACTCCCTGGCCTAGAGCGACCCAGGCCAACTTCCTCAGAAAGAAGGAGATGGAATGAATCATGTGCTTAAGTCATCCAATGAGCGAAGTCTGGGGGAAGGTGGAGGAAAGGGGCAGAAGGGCATTTGCAGCTGGAGGGCCAGGCAGCGACCACAGTCATTCTACAAACCCACCTGTTTTCAAGCCAAGTGTAGCTGTAGATACTTGAATATTAGAGTGACTGCCATCTGGATAGTTTACTGTCTGTCTGATGCCCAAACTGACCCCCTTGACACGCAGGGCTTTGTCTCCCTGTGTTGTGTATAATCCTGTGAACTCTTTCACCATGCTACCCTTTCAGAACAGTACCCACCTAATAGGATTACCGTAATCCCCAGATTACAGGCTATGCGTGGAATTGCCCACCCCACTCCATTGGTTCTGAGAGCCTCAGTCATCCTGTCTAGGAAGAAGATGGAGACAGGACCGTGTCCAGGCTCTCCCTTTCTCTCCTAAAAAGATTCAGGACCCACCATCCCACAAGCGCCGAATGAAGAGCATAAACTCCCTTTTAACACCCGAGGCCAGCTTTGGATGAGCGTGTTGTACAGCCAGCTGCGGTTCAGTGCAGCATTCTTGAGCTCCCATTTAATGACAAGAAAACCAGGAGCACGGCACTGGGGAATGGCATAATAAACATTGCATTCTGGGTTTTTTTCTGTATCATCATTAGGTGCTGTTGTACAGCAGCTCACCCGAATAGTTTTAATAGCTTTTGCATACAGTCTGATCAAAACCTCCTGGTCCACACAGGAAAACTGCTCTGGCACCGGCATTACAATAATGGTGGCTGTCCTCCTTTGAATGTCTAGGTCGAATCTGTGTGCTTGCTGCTTTTTTTTTTCTTCCTTTCTTCTTTTCTGTTAATCTGAAGATGTCTTGTAGCATTTGCTTTGAGTGGGAACATTCATTCATGTACTTGAAATACATTTGTGATATCGCCTAGAGAGCTCTGAAACGCTGAAAGAGGAGGAAGAAGCCATAGAGAGCATGTCAAGAGAGGAACAGTGTGCATGCTCTGAGAGTGCCTAGCTTTAAATGTTTTCCTCTTCAGAAGGAGGACGCTAAAATAGTTTCTTCTGTTGGCTGCTGTTTTGCTTCGTACTAATCTGTCCGTCTCTGTTTCTTGGCATGGGTTTCTGCTCAAGGCTATTGTGAGTATGGCTTCCTATTTACTTCCCCCTGCTCTGAGTTAGTCAGTACCCAATTCTGGGGTTCTCATTTGTAAGAGAAGCTGTAGAAGTTTTTAGGGTTTTTTGCTCATGTTATGTTTCACATGCACACATGCGTTCCCCATATATGGTTGCCAAATTATTTTCCTCTGTGTCGTCACTGTGGCAGTGCTTCAGGCAACTTGTTTGCACGCTCCCTTAGGGATGGATGGAAAGGGAGGGGCCGTGGCTCGGTGGTAGAGCATCTGGTTCACATGCAGAAGGTCCCAGGTTCAATCCCCGGCATCTCCAGTTAAGTGATCTGGCTGTAGGTGATGTGGAAGACCTTTGCCTGAGACCCTGGAGAGCCACTGCCAGTCTGAGTAGACAGTACTGGCTTTGCTAGACCACGGGTCTGGTTCAGTATAATGCAGCTTCATGTGCTCATGTGTTTGCAAAGAAACAAAAAGTCACTTTTTACAGATTTCAGCCCATGGGAACAGAATGCAACAATTTTAAATAAAGTTGCAAAGGGGGGGGGGGTTTAAGCAGTCTGAGGTCTGCACTCCACATTTCGTTTTTAATGTATAGGGGTGTGTTCACAAGTGCTTCCTGTGACACAAATTATAATCTGGCCTTCAGACCCAGGTCTGCATCCCTGGGTAGCTTCAGATACGGTAACATTTCTAAACAGAGTCATCTTTGTAGGAATTAGCACACAACCCTTGTGTAGATGGCAACATGAGAAACGGTACTTACGAAGGACTGCTGCAGGTACACAGACACACAGCCCTGCAGAGGGCTTTCATGCGTGACTTCATGTAGGCAGTTTTGTTGCATGTGCAGTGGGCCTCAAGACACAGGCATGCCAAGGATTTGGATCTGGTATTGGCACGTACATGTAGAGTATAAATTAAGAACACACAAATTTCCATGTTGGGTCAGATTAATGCTTTGTTTAGCTTTGTGACACCTCCTTCCCCCCCCCCCCCCCCCCCCATCCTTGCTTAGGTTTTTTTGTGCTTTGGGAGCCTTGTGTGAATAAGGGCAAAACTCATATTTAATGGGAAGGTCATGCGTCTGGCTATTATAGCAGGCGGTCACAGGTAGACCGCCTCTCTAGATCCACATTAATGGTGGCAGCTGTCATAACATCCTGGTGGCAATAATTATATATGCTGTGAAGGGCATTTGTTTGGCTTTTTAGCCACTTCCTCTGAGTTTTGGCAGGTGGCTTGTTTTTTGTTTTTTAAAGCTTTGTAAGAGAGTGAATAAAAGCTTCAGACATGGGGGAGCAGGGAAGGAAGCCAGGAATGCAAGGCCGGATAAGTTCACCCTCCCCGCTTCCCTCCCCTGCAACATTATATTGGGCCGGGGAGGGGATGAGACATGCCACCCCAGACACCCAGGGCTTAATTGCCCAAGACATTGCTTCCAGATAACAGAAAATGTGATGGGACTGCTGATAGACTGCTGTGACATCACACCAGTTTCATTTCATAATCCATCGTCTAGTCCAGTGCCAATGTGATCTGGCTCAGATAGCATGCTTTAATATGAGGCCCCACATGAGCCAAAGTTGCCATTCACCTAGAGCAGACACTAGCCATGCTAGCCCTCTCCTCCCCCCCCCCCGTTTGGCTCCCAGCAGCGAGAACCATTGCTGTTCATTCATCGCCCAGTTAGGAGGGTGTTCAGTTGCCAGGAAGGCGAGTGAGCAGTTGCTACAAAATGGCTTGGGATGCGTAAGCCCTTTTTTTTGGGGGGGGGGCTACTGTGTCAACCAGACTTCTGATTACATCCATATACATTGTAAAACAAAATTCTCAAAGATGTGAAGAGCTGCATTATGCTGTATTTGTGTGGTATGAAATGGTACAGCCCATTTTTTAATGTACACGTATTAAAGGGTAGAACAAAGAATGTAAGCAAACCAAACTCTGATGGCCACTTCTGTTAGAACAAAGGGGTGTGTGTGTGTTGTGGGCTTGCTTGGAACAAAACAGTGATGTGTATGGGGGTGCATACCCTTCCCCCAACTGTCCTTTTTAGTACACTTCTCCCCCCCCCATCTCCATCAGCAAAGAGGGGAGAGTGATGGAGAAGAGGGAGAGGCAGCGGGCAGTGAAGGGGATAGCAGAGCCCAAATTGCCCCCCCTTCCCACAACTCTGACCAATATAACTCCTGGGATTTCATTACATGCATTTGTGTATGACTTTCAGTTTTATACTCAGCTTTCTGTATCACAGTGAATTCCTCCTCTTAACCCTTCCCCCCCCTTATTTTACAGTCTGTCATTCTGAAGAAGAAACTTGATGAACACCTGTAAGTATTTTTTTAAAAAACTGTTTTTTATACAAATAATTTAAAAGTATTTTAAGGACAGCAATAAGCACTAAAGCGGCTTAATATATGAAGGTATGATAGAACCTGGAGATACTTGATCATAAACCATTTCCATAATTTATTTATTTAGAAAACGTATAGGCTGCCTTGCCAGAAACCTGCTTTAAGGTAGCTCACAGGTAAAACAAGTGTAATAAAACCACATAGACAACACAAACAAGTCAGAACATAATTTATTATTGTTATTTATTTTATTTAAAACATATATTAGCCACCTTAAAACATAAAACAACAGAGAACAGAAAAGAAAATGGCAGTCTTCAGGCTAGAGCAGACCATGACAACAATTTTAAAAGATCATCCCTCTTAGTTAAAAGCCTGGGGGGGGAGGGAGAAATGGTTTGGCTTTATACCCCACCCTTTACTACCCAAAGGAGTCTCAGAGCAGCTTACAATCACCTTCCCTTCCTCTGCCCACAACAGACACCCTGTGAGGTAGGTGGGGCTGAGAGAGCTCTGAGAGAGAGAGAGAGCTGTGACTGACCCAAGGTCACCCAGCTGGCTTCATGTGGAGGAGGAGTGGGGAATCAAACCCAGTTCTCCAGATTAGAGTCCTGCCACTCTTAACCACTACACCAAACTGGGGTACACGCTAGGCAAGCCTTAAAAAAATGCCACTGAATTTCAGTGAGGTTTATTTCATGGTAATTATTTGCAGCATTTTGTTTCACGAATTCCATCAGGCATCAGAAATTATACATATAAGCATCAAAGATTATGTGTATACATAATTCTGTGTGTGGGGTTATCTACCTGTGTTAGTGGTGCTGGTATCTCACTAAAATGGAGAGGAGGGCATAAACGGATGTGGCAAAGATCATGCACCTCCGTCCATCTGCAACGTGCAAATGTCAGGGCCTGATGCCTCGTAGCATCCATGCAAGCAAGCAGATGGAGATGCCTCATCTTCTCAATAGAAATATTTGTCCTTTCTGTAGTCTTAATTTTTTTTAATTCTTATTTTTTTCCCTAGCGAAAAGCTGCACGAAGCTAATAATGAGCTAAAGAAAAACCGTGCAATCATTGAAGATCTAGAACCTCGATATAACAACAGTTGTGAGTAGTAGTTTTCTGTTTCAAATCATGATTGGGTACTTCTTTTTTAATCTAGGTGATCTTAAAAACATTTACTTTTTCAGCGTGTGTGATTTAAAGCAAAGACGCTGACCGCAAACCTGGCTTTGTATTGATGGTGCAGTAAATTTGTTATGTAGTAGCTCAGAACTAATGTTTTCAGTCACCGTGCTTTATGTGCATGAGGATTAATAGTCCGCCCAACTGATTGATACCAGTGGTTTGTACGAGTTGCTTTGATTAAACTTCTTAAAGAGTTGCTTTGATTAAAATCCACCCAATTGTTGGTGTTCACATGACCTAGCGATCTAGAAGGAGAAAGAATATTTTTGTCAACTAAGGGCTGGAAGGAAGGGTATAAATACAGGCCCAGTCTGGTTTGAGCACGAGGCTCTGCATGTTTTCTAAGTATTTTATTTATTTATTTATTTGTTAGATTTCTATCCCGCCCTTCCACCAAAGCGGCTCAGGGCAGCTTACGTACAGTTTTAAAATCAACATACCTAAAATACATCTCCATAAAATACAAACATTTACAATTAAAACCGTTTAAAGTGGCGGTGTCATAATAAAGTGCAGATGTAACATAACCAATGGAAGCATTCTTACTGAAACGCCCTGCGAAAAAGCTCCGTCTTCACAGCCCTGCGGAATTGCTGGAGGTCCCACAGTGCTCTGATCTCACTGGGGAGCTCATTCCAGAGCCCCGGCGCCGCAAGGGAGAACGCCCTGGTCCTAGTCACCACCAACCTGGCGTCCCTAGGGCCAGGGAGGGCCAAGCGGTTTTGTGTTCCAGATCACAGTAGGGTTGCCAAGTCGACTCACCCCTTGGAGCGGGGGAGCCGCGCTGTGGTCCGGGAGTTCTTAAGGGACGCACGCCCCCCGGCAGCATGTCACTAGAAGTGACGTGTGACGTTGCTGACGTTGGGGGCGTGGCCGAGCTCGTCGGGGGGAAAACCATATGGTTTCCCCCCCCCCGACGAGCTCAGCCACACCCCCAACATCAGCAACGCTTCGAGGGCGGGGTTCCTCTGGGGCCCGATTCCGCCGCGGCGGAAATCGGGCCTCCGAAGCGGGGGATTTCCCGCCCCCAGGCCCCATTTGGCAACCCTAGTTCACAGTGCTCTCTAGGGGACATGCAGGGAAAGGCTCAGGTAGGCAGGTCCCTGACCATAAAGGGCTTTAAAGGTCAACACCAGCACCTTGAAGCGTATACGGAATGCTATTGGAAGCCAATGCAATGACTTTAGCACAGGCTGGATGTGCTCCTACATGGGGAGGCCCATCAACAGCCTGGCTGCTGCGTTCTGCACCAGCTGCAGCTTCCGGAGTTGCCCCAAGGGCAGCCCCATGTAGAGAGCATGACAGTAGTCCAACCTCGAGGTGACCATAGCGTGGATCACTGAAGCCAGATCGTTGCGTTCGAGGAAGGGGACCAACTGCCTGATCAACCGAAAATGGTAAAAGGCCGTCTTGGCAGTGGCTGCTACCTGGGCCCCCATTGTAAGGGAATTATCCAGGAACACTCCCAAACTCCTGACCCTTGGCACTGGCACCAACGGCGCCCCACCAAAGGACAGTAGTGGGACTTCTACCCCCGGACTGCTCTGATTCAGGCATAGGACCTCCGTCTCCATCGGATTCAATTTCAGTTGGCTCCCCCAAAGGGGACCTCCAATAGCTTACAAACAGTAGGAAAAACATACAATCAAAATGTAATATAAGGAAACTGGCTACATCTTGAGTGTATGTAGTGAGCCTCCTTGCGGAAGGTTATGGGCACTGGCCACAGGCTAGGATCCAAGGGCCTAGAATTCTTTGGCTTTCACTCTTAGGTTTTGTGCCTCTGGCCATGTCCCATTGCTATACCAGGAGATGTGAAGAACAAACAAAAGCACGGCTCAGGTGTTACCACTGACATCAGTGTTTCTTCCAGTTTGTCCTACGAGAGTTGGTTTGTGTGTGTGTAAAAGCCAGAATCCTGCTCTTATGGATGTGTGTTTGCCCTGCAAAACATGCCTGCTGGCTCATAAACATGGACAAAATGTTTTAAACATGGACAACAAGCTTTAAAAGGGAATTGGATAGATTCATGGAGGATAAAGGGTATCAGTGGCTACTAGCCATGGTGACTGAGGCGAACCTCCACATTCAGAGGAGCTAAGCCTCTGAAACTCAGAGCGAGGATCCAGGCAGCATCAAGGGAAGGCCTCAGCCTCTATGCCCTGTTGTTGGCCATCCAAAGGAACTGATTGGCCACTGTATGAGACAGGATGCTGAACTAGATGGACTGTTGGTCTGATCCAGCAGGGCTCTCCTTATGTTCTTAACAGTTTCTGTGGTAGGAGTAACTTGGTCTTTGTGTAATTGAACTGGCTATTCGGTTAGAGTGTAATGCTGTTGATTTCAGGATCCACATTATTCTGAAATGTGGAATTTTTCTCCTTACAAAGCACTCAAGATAGAAGAATTACAAGAAGCTTTACGGAAAAAAGAAGAAGAAATGAAACAAATGGAAGAGCGATACAAAAAGTACTTGGAAAAGGCCAAAAGCGTAAGTATTTTGTGCTGTTTTTATGTCACTTAGAGAGCTGCAATTTGTTCTCCCTCCATAGCCTAATAAATTGACCAGCTGTGCTTTGTTTTCTAGCTGCATATTGGACTGTTTGGGTGTTACTTTTCTCCATCACTTCTATGTCTGTTGCCTTGAGCTTGTGTGGTTTCTTTACACATGGTTTCTTTTCCTTTCCGCTTGCCACATGAAGTGAACATGTGAATTGTGGGATTCCACATTTACATGACCCTTGCCTGTTCTGTACCTTTGCGTATTGCACCTGATGAGCCAAGAGGTTTTGATGTGCATTTTGATGTGCAGAGACATTTTTCAAATAAACGGGGGGGGGGGGTTTCCCAGTTGAGGCATTCGAGGTGGAAAACATAGGCGCATGAAGAAAGGTGTGGACCGAAGGTGTGCTTCTGAACATCTTGCACTCCTGTGGAGTTAAAGCTTTTTCCTGGCGAAGGCAGCATACCTCTGAATGACAGATGCTGCTGGCCTTGCCCTGTTTCTCCCCAGCACCTTCTCACCCTCCTTATGAGCTCTCAGAGACATCTGGTTGGCCTCTACTGGAAACAGAAGGGCTTTCTCTGGTCCTGCAGTTCCTTTGTGTTCCTTTCCAAGAAAAAAATTTCAGGTTCACATTCTCTTGTATCCAAACCCCTTCATGTGCATACAACTACACCAGCTAGGAAGATGGGTGCAAGGGTTACTTTTGGCAGTTTTATCATTAATGCTAGTTGCACCCCATGACATAGGTAGGGAGAATGGGATCATGAGCAGGTGCAGAGCTCTTCCTAGCCCCGACTTCTGTCTCTAACCCTTTTCCTGGTCAAGTTAAGGGGCAACAACCTATAGAGACGGGGTGGCCAAACTGCGGCTTGGGAGCCTTATGTGGCTCTTTCACACATATTGTGTGGCTCCCGGTAGGGCAGTTAGGGGAGCAAAGGGGAGGCATACTTTTTCTCCCACCCTCCCTTCTATTTGCTTTCTTTGTTTCTCTCTCTCTCTTTCTTTCCACCTCTTTCATTCTTTCCACCTCTCTTTTTCTCTCTCTCTTAGACAAATAAATATCATTAGCAAACAAATATCATTGGACAAATAAATATCATTATGAATATCTATTTTTACCCCTTTTGTTTTTATTTGTGGCAGTCTCATTTAATGTTAATAAAAAAGTAAATCCGCATATTTTAAATAAAGATGCGTGTAATATTTGTTCATGTTTTACGGCTCTCAAACATCTGGCATTTATTCTGTGTGGCTCTTAAAGCTGAGCAAGTTTGGCCACCTCTGCTATAGAGCCTGCTAGATCAGCTGTTCACCAGACTGCTGAGGACACCTATTAGTTACCGTGTTATAAGGAACCCTGGAGGTATTACCGTTTGTCCTGATGGCATAACTGAAGCCTGACCTAGGTAGATCTTAAGGCTCCAAGCCATTTAAACCTTATGTTGTCGAAGGCTTTCACATTAGTTGTTGTAGATTTTCCGGGCTGTATGGCCGTGCTCTTGGCATTGTAGGACCTGACATTTCGCCAGCAGCTGTGACCGGCCTCCTCAGAGGTATAACACAGAAAGATGGAGTACTGTCTATGTCAGTGTGAGAAGAAAAATGGTAGGCAGGTAATTTATATCTACTCTGGAAGGTGGGGTAGGGCTGAGTCATTATCTTGCTTTCTGCTTCTCTCAAAAAGCAATGGGAAGCTCAAAGCAAGGTTTAAATGGCTCCGAGCCATTAAAACCAAACAGCTGAGCGGCAGGGAGCTCCCAGCCCCTCAGCTGTTTCTCATGAAGAGCAGAATGCACATTCTGATCTTCACAAATCAACACGAACTGCCCCCAAATTTGTGGAAGTTCAGTGTGGTTCTTCAGTTCACAAACTTCGGTTCACGAACCCCGAACCATTCCAAATTCATTACAAACTTTGGTTCGTCAGGCAGTTCATGCCCATCCCTAGTAAAAATACAGTCTGCCTCCACTGAATGGCGCTTGACTGATTTGGCCAGATAGAATACAGATATTTACTCTAAATTACAGTCCTTTGTTCAAGGGGTGCCAGGAAGGTGTTGTTGGCTGCCTGTTTCTTTAGAATGGAAGCCAGCAAGCAATGCCATCTTGGCACGCCAAAGCTCTAATCAGCTCCAGTCAGCTTGCTGTACAAATAATCCTGTGATATTTAAAACTTTCTGGCTGATCAAAGCCTACAATCAGGATTGGCTGGAAGGACAGGTTCTTGACACACAAGTGAAACAGTTAAAGGGTTTCCAATCTTATGGACGACGACAGGTCACATCAGGTTTTTTTTTGTTTGTTCTTGTTTTTTGCTTGGTGCAAATGGAGGCAACCTTGAACAAAGAAGCCACGCCTCCACTCTGGAAGGAAGAATTATGTAGGCTGCTTTATACCTTTGCATTGGCCTGGCAGGAAGGAGGAGCATTTCTAGCACTTAATTTGCATACTCTTTGAGCTTTTATTGTTGTGATAAGACACAAAGGAATTAATATTCTGGTAAACAGGTTTCTGACCAAAAGAGGGTCGGAGAAATTTTGGGCTGTAGACGGGGGTGGGGGGAGCTTTCAGCTGACCTATAGCAGTAGAGTTTTGTCACGAGAGCATTAATAACTTCAAATTTTAAATGTGTTCACTTCCTAATGACGTTATTGTTTCTCATATTGAAGGCTTCCATGTGTTTTTGTGATTCTGTGTGTATCTGCTTGTGGTGCTTTGATCCACGTGTGCGATTCTGGCCCCTTACAGGTTATCCGTACCTTAGACCCCAAGCAGAACCAGGGCTCAGGGCCAGAGATCCAGGCTCTGAAGAATCAGCTGCAAGAACGGGACAGGATGTTCCATTCTCTAGAGGTAACTTTATCGGCGTTAGTCTTCTCCATCCTAGCCTCCTAATCTGAAGCACTCAGAGCAGTAACCATGCTTTAAAATGTCCCTTGAGGCAGTTCAAAACATGGTGAATGTGTGGATGTCCCAGGTGCACAGTGAGTCCAAACCATACTGCATTCCTAAAGGGAAGTAAATGATCGTCAGAATCACATCATTCAGCCATATTATGACGAACTTGAAATGTCTGCCTTGGCTGCCAGCCCATTTCTATGTTCAGTTCCACAGCACTGGCTTTAACCTTTAACTGCCTGGGAGCCTCCTTACTTCCTGGAACACCTTTCCTCTGATATGAGCCCCTGAGGGCACTGTAGGCATCGCCCTAGATGCGGCTTGGAGTCCCAACCCCGAGCGAGGTTAGAATGGTTTTGTCTCATATTTGTGGGTTTTCAGTAGTGTTCTGCGGCTCTTTCTAGTGGATTTGGTTGGACAGAGAACGCTCGGCAAGGCAAGACACTGTAGTAACTGAAGTACTTTAATTGTAGTAGAGCTTAGAACCAACCACAATGTAAAGATTCTTGCATCCCTTCAGTTTCCGGGGGCTCCTTACAGCAACAATGTCCAGCAGCTCCAGTGAAGCCCGACTGCTGCTGTTTCCTCTTCCAGTTTTTTATGGCCTGCTTAGGTTCAGCCTCCACTTGGCAGACATAGAATCACGGAGTTGGAAGGGGCCGTACAGGCCATCTAGTCCAAACCCCCCCCCCCTCAATGCAGGATCAGCCTAGCGCATCCCTGACAAGTGTTTGTCCAGCCACTGCTTAAAGAGTGCCAGGAGGAGGTCCACCAGTGGGGCCAGGACATTAGAAGCCCTCCCACTGTTGACCCCCCCCAAGCACCAAGATGACAGAGCATCACTTGCCCCAGAGTCCCTATCTATACCTTGTGGCTAATAGCCACTGATGGACCTCTGCTCCATATGCTTATCTAATTCCCTTTTGAAGCCGTCCATGCTTGTAGCCGCCACCACTTCCTGTGGCAGTGAATTCCAAGTGTTAATCACTCTTTGGGTGAAGAAGTACTTCCTTTTATCTGTTCTAACCCGACCGCTCAGCAATTTCATGGAGTGCCCACGGGTTCTTGTATTGTGAGAAAGGGAGAAAAGTACCTCTTTCTCTACCTGCTCTTTCCCATGCATAATCTTATAAACCTCAATCATGTCACCCCTCAGTCGTCGTTTCTCCAAGCTAAAGAGCCCTAAGCGCCTTAACCTTTCCTCATAGGGAAAGTGTTCCAACCCTTTTATCATTCGAGTTGCTCTTTTCTGCACTTTTTCCAAAGCTATAATATCCTTTTTAAGGTGTGGTGACCAGAATTGCACACAGTATTCCAGATGAGGTCGCACCATTGATTTATATAGGGGCATTATGATATTGGCTGATCAGTTTACAATACCCTTCCTAATAATCCCCAGCATAGCATTGGCCTTCTTTATTGCAGTCACACACTGTCTCGACATTTTCAGTGAGTTATCTACTACAACTCCAAGATCTCTCTCTTGATCAGTCTCTGCCAGTTCAGACCCCATCAACGTGTATTTATATTTAGGATTTTTGGCTCCAATGTGCATCACCTTGCACTTGGCCACATTGAACCCCATTTGCCATGTTGACGCCCACTTGCCCATCTTTGACAGATCCCTTTGGAGTGCCTCACAATCCTCATTGGTTTTCACCACCCTGAACAACTTCGTATCATCTGCAAATTTAGCCACTTCACTGCTTACTCCCAACTCCAAATCATTAATGAACAAGTTAAAAAGCAGTGGACCAAGTACTGATACCTGCGGTACCCCACTGCTTACCCCCCCCTTCGCTGAGAGAACTGCCCATTTATACTCACTCTCTGTTTTCTATTAATTAGCCAGTTTTTGATTCATAAAAGGACTTGTCCTTTTATCCCATGATTTTTGAGCTTACTTATGATTTAAACCCATTCTTGCGAGTCCTGTCCTCTGCTGCCAATAGGAACAGCTCCCTGCCCTCCTCTAAGTGACAGCCCTACAAATACTTCAAGAGAGCCGTCATGTCTCCACCTCGACCTCCTCTTCTCCAGACTAAACATTCCAGACTAGGGCTGATTCATGCTCCAGTACTTGTACCTGACATCCCCTTATTATGAAGGGAATTGATCCTGCAGCCACTTGGATACCCTCAGCTCAGATAAGGATCCCTGACAACATCATTCCCTACTCTACCTCGAGGGTTTCGTCCATGATGGCACTACAAGTGGCAGCCCCACTCCTTTAAGGGATGGCTTACAAGAAAACTGGGGGAAGTATCCTCTCCAAAGATCTTCAGTGGGGGGAAAGACTAAGGCTGGATTTTACTTAAAGGGCCTTCGGAATTTGTGGTTGTGCTGATTGTTTGAATCTGTCGTTGTTGGTTTTGAGGTCTGTAGTATTATCTGTCTGTCTGGAAACCACTTTGAGTATGTGTCAAAAAAGCAGTATATAAATATTTTTAAATAAGTTGCATAGTCAACTGATTGACTGGGTATATACAATATATATATACAGGGGTCTTGTTGTAGAAAAAGAGCTGCTGGAGCTCATTAGCATAACTCATTAGCATAACTTATTTGCATATGCCACGCCCCCTGACATCACCGGAAGTGTGTCAGAAGGCCCGGCTACTTACCCTCCTGCTTCATCCTCATTCCCAAACGGAATGAGGATCGAAGCAGAGGGCGGGGTAAAGAAGGGGGCGGGGTTTCACCACGTGATGGCCCCGCCCCCTAGAGGTTCTCTTCCGGAGCTCCGTACCTGAGAGCTCCCCCCCGACTAGAGCCCTGTATATATATATATATACACAATATATTCAGTCAATCAGTTAATAACACATATACAGGTCCTATAAAGTAACAGAATTCGTTCAACAGCCAGATCTAGGCTCAGTGACTACTTTTTTTTTTCATGGCCACCGTTTGTGTGATATAAACATCACCCCAGAAAGAAAAAAAGGGGTGGGTCCAACCAGTCTCTGAGTGGCTCATCCTCCAGTGGAATTCGAGGAAAGCTTCTTAGACTGGAGGGAGGCTTCAAAATTGAGCCCAAAGGAAAGGTAACGGTAAAGGTTCCCTTGCTCGAAAGCCAGTCGAGTCCAACTCTAGGGTTGCGGTGCTCATCTCCATTTCAAAGCCGAAGAGCCAGCGCTGTCCGAAGACGTTTCCATGGTCATGTGGGGGCATGACTAAACACCAAGGCGCACAAAAAGGGGAGGTATAAATATTTTAATAAACGAATAAATAAGCTTTCCTCAGTGGAGTGGCGGGATAGGTGTAGGGTCTACCCCAAGGTCCATCTGCCAGACAACTTGAGGAGAGAGTAGCAGTAATTTCTTGAACTCCATTAAGAAGGGCAGTTAAATCACTATGCACTTAACCAGCAGCACCGCATAATAAGCTGATCTTTTTAATGCATGTCAAATAATCTGAAGCATTTGATATGCTTTTCCTACTTAGAAAGAATTTGAAAAAACGAAGAGTCAAAGAGAAACGGAAGAAAAATACATTGTCAGTGCCTGGTACAACATGGTAAGTAGACTGAAGCCAACCGGAGCCTTCAAAACGTAGCTCAAAGTGAAGCGCAAAATAGTGCTGGTGCTTTCAAAAACGTTCTGTGCTTTTCTGAACAAGGGGTAACTTCTAGAGTCGGTTTGGGAACTTCCCTTGATTACTGGAGACATTTATCAGTTGAGGGGGAGGGGGAATAATTAGTTCACAGTCTTTAGTTTGTTCGGGTGGGTTAGATGCTCCAATCCTGACCTTGGATTGCTTCCTGACCTCGGATTAGCTGCCCACTAATCCCACCGGGGTACTCTTAGGGGTCATGAGAGCCAGTCGATGTGGTGGTTAAGAGCCGTCAGACTCTAATCTGGAGAACCGGGTTTGATTCCCCACTCCTCCACATAAAGCCAGCTGGATGACCTTGGGTCTCTTAGCCCCACCTACCTCACAGGGTGTCTGTTGTGGGGAGAGCCAGGGAAGGTGACTTCTTTGGGTAGTGAAGGGCAGGGTATAAAACCAACTCTTCTTCTTCTGACCTAATTGAAGTGGCTGTGAACTGGGAAATAAATCCACACTCGTGGTTTCGTCTCCTCCGCAATGTTATCTGGTGGCCTTATTGCAAGCCATCCTCTCAGCCTTTCCATCTTCAATATAATTTATTTGCATCCTGTCGACTCACAACCCGACTCATGGTGACCCCTGGACCGTGAGTTTTCAAAGCAAGAGATGAGCAGAGGTGGTTTGGCCATTGCCTTCCTCTGCAGAGCAGCCTCACTCTTCCTTATTCAACTCCCATCCAAGTACTAACAATGGCTGACCCTGCTCGGTTCTGAAAAGATTGGGCCAGGCGGGGCTATCAGGCTGCTAACTGAGCCGCTCTGGCGGGAGGGTGGGATAAAAATCTAATTAATAAATAATAAATAAATATTACACCCCGGGCACTACAGAGAATGTCTGCAAAGTGCTTTGAATGATTGAAATTTGCTCTGTAAGTGCTAAATATTATAAGGTTTATGGCAAAATGGGGAGCATCAGCACTCTCAGTCCAGTTGATGAATTGGGACGCACACACACACACACACACACACACACACACACACAAAGGGATGCCCCAGCCCAGCAACATGCATGATGGGAATTAAGCTAAATGCACGTTTGTCTGTTTCACTCCATAGGGGATGACTCTTCATAAAAAAGCTGCAGAAGACAGACTTGCTAGTACAGGTTCCGGACAGTCCTTCCTGGCTAGACAAAGGCAAGCTACCAGCACAAGGAGAGCTTATCCAGGCCACGTCCAGCCAGCGACAGCGAGGTAGAGGAAAGCCTTGCCCTTTTGATAGGAAGCCATCCTGGCATCAAGACCTACTTCTGTTGCAAGTGACAGCGTTTCAGGAAACCTAGCCAGCATCCTCTCTATATTTCCCCTTCTTGCTCCTACAACTAACGTCTCGTTTCAGGAAGGCTTTAAAAAAAAAAACAACTCTCAATGTTTTTAATCTTCCTCCACTCTTTTTTGTTTTGCCTTTTAATGTGCCAAAACATCAAAGACACCTAGTGGAGTGTAATCATTAAACCCCTCCCTGTGTATGGAACCTTCCCCCTTCTCTCTTTGTCTCCCCAAACTGTCCTGACCTGGGAGTTTCCTGTTGGGGAAAGCTGTTGTCGTCCTTTCCAAGGTTGCCATTGTATAAAAGGGAATTTTCTCCTTTCCCCCCCTCCCCTCATCCCAGTCTGATCTGTCTGTTTTTAAATGATGTGATGGGATAGGCAACAATGCTTTGTAGAATAATTATGAGATGCATGTGTTGCGATGGCCTAGATATGGGCAGAAGCTGGAACCGGGCTGCAAGGGTCCCTGATCGGGGTGGGAAGGGTGCTCGATACGTTTCCCTTGTGCTGCTGTTACTCCATCCCTTGGGTTTAGTTTTAGAGAAGCGGGCTGGCTTTCTTTTGGCTTTCTCTGCTCACGTCCTCTCTCTGCCTCACCAGAGTTCAGCAATTTGATGGTTTCTCCATTTTACTTCCCAGGACAACACTTAAAAACATGGGGCTCTAACCACACGGAGGACAGGCCATCCATGGGATTGTTATGCTCCCGTAACTGTCTGGAAGTTCTAGGAATTGGGGCCGTGCGTGGCTGATTCAGCGCATGGCTGAATCTTACCGAGAAATGGTGCTGCACGTTGGTCAGCCATCACAAGGAAATTTAGAAAAGTAGTGACCATGGGGAGAAGTGGTCACCACTCACTCTGCACTGAAATAGATTTTGGTTGATTTTTTTGGTAGACTGTCTTGAAACGGCCATCCATTGCTTAACATCTGTTTTGATAGGCCAGGAAGGAGGATAAGGTTATTAAATTGCCTTGCAGGTGGCACTGGTGCAAGGTGATTCTGACGTGTGTTCATTCTCCTTTTTGTGCCAAATTTTAATGTGCACCTGGGTGAAGTTATAGATACCTGGTACCCATCATGGAATAAAAATGGCATTTCCCTTTGGATTCTGGTTCCTGCCGACTATTCCAAATGTTGAGTAATTCCCTTCAAATTTTTTATGAAATTTGAGATGGTTCAGTACGGGGCCATTTCCCTATAGATTCACCATTAGAATAACTTGGGAGGTCTTGTTTAATATTAATGATCCCCGTTTTTCAACCAGGAATTTCTCTTGCTTTACATCCTTCTTTTAAAAAGGTCAACATGAGACACATTAAGTATTCCAATGTAGTTTTTGACATTTTTTTAAAAAAAGCAGAAATGCCTTTTATGTGGAAGTGGATTTAAAAAGAAAAAAGAAAAAAAGAATTGTGATTAATTTCCAAATGGTTAATTCTTCTCCCTCATTTTTTTTTGTAAAAGTGCACAATACATTTTATTAATAAAAAGCAACACTACTTTTTATTAAAATGAAACTCGTAGATATTGGTCCTCTGTAATAGTATTTCAAATTAGACGAAGCAAGGTGTCCCCCCCAGTATGCAGGGGGGGGGGAATCTTTCTAAGGGTAATTCACTTGGTGAAGTGGCATTTTTCCCCTGCTTTAACAAACGGAGGGCAGAGAGAACTGAGGTTCTGTGTACAAGCAAAATTATTTGGTGTCCGTCTTATTTTCTGTGCTGCTTGAATTTTTACTTAGTAACACATCCCAAACAGAGGTGCAGCTATTAGTCTTGAACAATAGCACACTTGGCCATTCTTAGGACTGACCTAGGTTCTAGGTATATCAGATGCCCACTATTCTCAATTTTAACCACTGTCATGCTTCACTATGCAAAACAATGTCAAAAACTTGGAGAGGGGGGGGTTCTGTTCAGGGGGGAAAGAATTACTGTCTCCAGGCCCACCCTGCTAATCTGATAAAATTTCATTTAATTCTGTGCCTGAAAGAAACTTGAACAGAACCCTTATAAACGGACTGACCTGTTCTCCAGCTTCAGGTTTTCTTTGCTGGGATTCTATGGGATTCTTCTGCCTTTTGGGGCATCTTTCGGTTTCTCATTCATCTCTGTCTTTCACCTTTCGCAAAAGGTATTTCTGCACTTGTGCTTGTTTCTTGCTTGCATTGAGGTGGGTCAGGCGAGCAAATTTCACAGCCCCGTATTTTGAAAACATCAAGACCTCTCAGTTGAAAACTGCATCAGTTTTATTCCGATGATTTGAAAACTGAACGTATTTCCTGTAGTTCAAAAGAACCATGAAAAAACCTGCTTATCAAGAGCTCTTTTTAGAACAAGTTAGTTGCACTAAGTCTTGTTGGAATCGATGGGACATTGGCCTTAACTAATGCAATGCCATTAATTCAGTAGGATTTGTGCACCTTGAGTTCTCAAGAATCAGAGTCTTTGTGTCTTGCTACTTTTTACAGATTTTGTGGTTAGAGAGAGGCTTTCTTTTTAGAAGATCTGGGTGGAATAGAAACAATCCATGTGTGTTTCAAGAAAATTCACTCATTTGATAAAAGGGAGATTTGGTAAAAAAAAATCCAGAATGGGTGTTCTAATGTAGCTTAAATGGGTAAAGACAAGATGTAAGAATTGTACTATATAAGGATATAAAAGTTCCTCAGTTGTTCCTGATTTTAACATTTAACATCAAGGTCTTGGAACAGTATTGGACTTGTGCGAAAATGTTTCTCTCCAGTTGTTAAAAGTTTATGATTCTACACATTTGTGCATTGTTGGTTAGCTTTCTTTATTGGTTTGTTGTCCTCTGGATTCTTCTGTGCTACAAACAAGCTGTCTAAATAGTCATATTAATGCAAGGTATACTCACCTATGTATGTACTGGATTTTCAAGTGTTTATCACAGCCTAATTTATTATAATTTCTTTAAGGGTTGTTTAAAAAAAATTAAACATTAGCCAACTGTATTTTACTCCAATAAACCCCACAGATATTTCTTTCTTGTTTATAGTCTTCTCCTAATAAGGACATGTGGTAGATTTGAGTCCTCACTTTCCCCCCCTCCCATTGCATACGGTCTTTACTCAGTTAAGAGTCGGTTAACTTGATCACCATTGGATAATAGATGGCTGAAATTAATCTCTGGTCAGAACTATCAAACGATTCCATAACTTGTGGATAGAGCAAAGTGTTATTTCATAGCAGTAGTGATAGGGAAAAAACTGTCTCCTAATGATACTGGAGAAACCTAATTCACTTTGGATCAGGTCATCCGCATGTGCACACATGCCACATCTGATGTGGGGTTGTGTATTTCCACAGGCACTTGCACATAATTTCTGCAACTTCCCCATAAAAACATAAGAGCAGCCATGCTGGATCAGTCAGTTGGTCCATGTAGTCCAGCATCCTGTTTCAACAGTGGCCAGTTACAGGTCACAGAGAAGCTCTCAAAGGAGGCCCTGTTAAAGGAGGATGAGGGAAATTACATGTTGCTGCTCCACTATACAAATGGGATCAATAGTTTGGCAAAGTTGCACTCTGGCCCCCATTTCCTTGTTTTTCAGAAATAGCGGGTGTCTTCACTCTATGAGGACACTTGATTTAGGGCCAGTGCAGATGACTTATTCCTGAGTTTAAGGCCAGCTACACCTGCACATACAATGTCCAAAGGTGTCATTTTTAGCTTAAAGACATGGAAGGAACCTTTTCGTTTTCTTTGCATGCTGAAAGCCTGCCATCAGAGCATAATGCCAGCTGCCAGTGTGTTTTCCCTTTGCTTCGAGTGAATCAGAATGCTGTCTGATCCACCTTCTAAACCATTGGGATGGATCCTGCATTTCTATTCTGCTAGCAGAATGGAAGCACTTTCCTCCTTGGTAGGAACAGGAGGGCTCTTTCCACTGGAGGAGAGTGCCTCTGCTAGTGATACGGATCTGGAAGATCCAAACTTTTTATCTGCACTGAGTTAGGTGTACAGCTAGAATGAAGACAGTGGCTTTAGAAAGTTCCTGGACTTTTTAAATACATCCTTGTGAGTTTTCTGATCTAGGAGAGATTTGGGGGGTTTTCTGCATGGTCTTATTGAGTCAGTTTTGGTCCCCCGTACCCCTTTGGTTTACCCTCTGTCTTCCACGTGTTCTCTGGATCCACCAGCTGTCACCTCACATTTTTTCTGTCCACCCCCCCCCCATTCTTTTGAGACCACTTCTACCCTGATCTTTCTCTAGCAGGTGGATTCCAGGTGTGTTTGTTCTCGTATATAGTGCTTCCTGCACTTTTGGTGTTCCGTCCCACTTTCCTGCCCACTTTCTCCTGACTGGACGGTGACTGTGGGACAGCCCTGCCCTTTGCCCTCCTTCCCCCAAATCGGTAATGAGGAATTTTTATCCCTTGTATATGCAAATTTCCAAGTATTTTTTTTTAAGCATCTGGCCGATAGTGATCTATCACTATAAGAAGGCACAGGAGTGATCACTGCTCTTCCCATGTGCTTTCAGTAATTGTTACCTTTTTCTTTCCCTTCATTGGTTGGGTTTTTTTTCTTTCTTTTCCCCACAGCCTTTTGCTTCCTTGCACTTTCCGAAAGCACAGGAGCACTCATGGCTGTTTCCGGCCATTCAGCCTTCACTCCTTGCCTAGTGCTTAGCTCTCTCTTGGTATGCCCCAACACCTCCTTCCTCTATGGAAAGAAGGATTTATTTCCACGCACAGGCAAGTCTTTTATTTGTTTATTTATTTTTAAAAAACATGCCCTCATAGCGACATATCTTTATGCAAGGTGCCTGTGTCTTGATATCCGTCGCTCTCCCTTACTCTGTTTATTTCTTGGAGGGAATTTGATTTTCCATGGGTTTGGGGTCAGCACTTTCCATTCCCGTGGGGACTGTCACAGGCTGCTCTCCTGGCACACTTCCTTGTTCTTTGCCTGCTAGAGGCATTGACCCGGCTAAAGATTTAAGTAAGGGCCACTTGAAAGTAATTGACTAGATGGGGGAGCAATTGACTCCTCGCCTTATCTGCAGTTTGTTGACAGGAAAACTTTTTAAAAAACGGTTTGGCCCTGACTTGGATTGTCCAGGCAAGCCCAATCTCAGAAGCTAAGCAGGGCAGACCTGTTATAGAGGTATGCCGATACATCAGTGTAGCACACGCACAACAAAAAGCACCCTTGCCTGAATATCCTGATTTTTTTTAAAGGCACATCTGTAAGGTAATAAATGAAAGTGGCAACTGGGAAAATGCAAAGGGAGGGAAGACGTGTGGGGGATTCCCCCCCCCCCCAACATGCTCAGTGTAATTCTGATGCTAGCAGATTGGCTGCTAAGAAATGCAGGAATAAGATGTGGACGCAGAAAACCATTTTGAGTGGTTCTGCCTTTGAGATGTACAAAGTTCAGTGTTTTTACTGGGGTGTACGAAAAGACCCGCTTTAACATACTCCCAGCAAGGCTTGCTAATAGTCACTTGTTCGTTGGCTTGTGGTGAGAAAATCCCTTCTTTGCTGCCCTGCTGGGAAGCTCTGTCTTTTTTTGTCCCCCCCCCCCCCCCTCTGTTTTTCTAGTTAGGTATGCCTGTGTCAGCCAGTCTAGTAGGTTAAATAACTTTTGTGACTGTCTGGGCAAAAGTGTTCTCAACTCTTAATATATAAAAATTCCTGTTGCACAAAATGTTTCTGTTGTCCCTGCAAAGCTCCGGCCTACAAAAATTGCTGTTGCGATAGTTGGACTCAATGAACTAAACAAGATTGGCTAAATTGCTTAAGATATCTTTCTTAAGCAGCTTTAAAAAACTTTTCAGCATCAAAAGATCTGCTGCTTCTTATCAACCTCTTCCCCCTCCCCAATTTCAATTCCCAGAGTTGCGATTGCTTGACCTGCACCACTGTTCATAAAACAAGGGCTGTTCACCTTGAGATTTCTATATTCCCCAGTCCCCCAATTCAGCCTTTACAACCAAAACCTTGATCTGTCATTTTAAGACTTCCAGGGTACCTGCTTTGCAAAGAGAGGAGTTGTTTGCAGAGAATAATCTTCCTTCCTTTCTCCCATTTCCCCCCCCCAATATTCCAGAAATCCTCACTCCTTCAGATCTGTTCAGCCAGTGAAATGATTTTCTAAAATTGTAAAATAGAATAAAATTTAAAAATGACTAAGATTAACAAGTTCCTGCAGCTCACCATACGTTAATGTTTACCTTAACTACCTTAACTAGCACATTCTTCCTATTAACAGTATTAACATGCAAGCCTCTTGCAAATCTTCCATTTACTAAGCTAGAAAGCATTTAATCTTAAG